GCCAGGCAGGGAGAGCGCTGCGCTCCCGGCCCCGTGCCCAGCGTGGCCCCGTGCGCCGGGGAAGGGCTTCCACTGTCCCTCTCGCTGCAGGCTCCAGCGCTGCCTCCCTCTATCCCGTGCTGAACTTCCTGCTGTACGTGCCGGAGCGCTCCCACTCCCCTCTGTATATCCAGGACAAGGACGGAGCCCTGGTGGGCACCAATGCCTTCCACAGCCCGCGCTGGGGTGGCATCATGGTACGGCGTGGGTGGCTGCTGTCCCTCTGAGCTGTGGCTGGTGCTGGCCCGTGGCTTGACCTGACGGGCTCTCCTGCAGGTTTACAACGTGGAGGGCCCTGCTGCTCCCCAGGCGTCGCTCCCGCTGCGCGTGGACGTGGACATGGTGCGAGTGATGGAGGTGTTCCTGGCGCAGCTCCGGTGAGGATGCGTTGTTCCCTGCCCAGGCCTGTCTGCGCTCTCCCTCTGGAGCATGTGTGGACTGGAGCAGCCTGTCCCTAGGTGCAGCAGCTCCCTTGACCCACTCTGGAGCTCAGGGTGGCTTTTTGTGGCCTCTGAGGTCCTGGCTCTTGGCCAGCACCCCTGCCTGCATGGGGGTTCTGGCCCAACTCCTGGTGTGGGGAGCTCATCTGGTCCTTCCCTGCGTGCCCCAGGATGTGCAGCCCATCCTGGGCTGAGTCCCGCCAGGGCTGAATGCCCTGGAGAAGGGGAGAGCCAGGGAGTGCACTGTGGGCCTGTGACACAGGCTGGGACCTTCTCCTCTGCTCGTAGGTTACTGTTTGGGATTTTGCGGGAAGAGCTGCCGCCGGAGTTCCTGATGGAGAGTCCAGGGAATGAGGGACTGGCTGACTGGGAGCTGGATCGCCTGCTCTGGGCCCGCACTGTGGAGAACATTGCCACCGTTTCCACCACCTTGACCTCGCTGGCCCAGCTGCTGGACAAAATTGGGAACATCGTCATCAAAGATGATGTTGCCTCTGAGGTAGGTGTTTGGGCAGCCCGAGCCAGGGGTTGGGTGGCGGGTGGCAGTCACTGTCCTGTGCTGCTGCTGCTACTGGGACACTGCCCAGGCCTGCTGGTGAGCAAGGACCTCCAGGCTTGTGTCCGTGTGGCCTGGTGGCTCCTCCATGCCCCTGTCCCAGGGGACAATCTGTGCTCTTCCCATTGCAGGTATACCGAGCGGTGGCTGCAGTGCAAAGTGCCATGGAAGAGCTGGCCCTGGGCCGCCTCCGCTCAGCCTTCCAGGCCAGCAAGGAGGCCATCACCTCCTCGGAGCGGGCCTTCTTTGACCCGTCCCTCCTCCATCTCCTCTACTTCCCCGATGACCAGAAATTTGCCATTTACATCCCGCTTTTCCTGCCCATGGCTGTACCCATCCTCCTGTCCCTGGCCAAGATCCTCCGTGAGGCCAGGCAGCGCAAGAAGGATCCCACCAAGACGGACTGAGCCCATCTGCACCGTCCTACGTCGAGGCTGCTCCGGCCCGGTGGAGCACGTTGTCATGGACCCACGTTGGAGGCGTGTGGGGCAGAGCTCAGCGCGGGTCTCGGCAGAAGAAACCGCTGGGAGAGCGGGGAGAGGACGCTGGGGTCCTGTCCCCTCCAAGGGGACACGCTGCTCGTGCCCCAGGCCAGCCCGTGCGCGCTGGGGCTCCCTGCATGCCCAATAAAGGAGACCCTGACCAGGCTGGGCCTGGCGTGGGGCTGTGCGAACCTCCCTCCTGCCTCCAGGGGCTTAGCTTGGTGCTCCCATGTCCTCCCCTGCGTGCTGGGGTGGGGGACAGCTGCTTTAAGGGCTGCAGCTCCTCTGTTATTCAGCCCACGACAGGGAGTGGTGGTTATGGGGCCTCCTGTGCCGTTAGGAGCGTTCACAGAATCACAGAATGGTTGAGAGATCAAGAGATCATCTAGTCCAACCCGCTGCTCCAGCAGGGACACCCAGAGCAGGTGGAACAGGGTCACATCCAGGTGGGATTTGCAGATCTCCAGCAAAGGAGACTCCACAGCCTCTCTGGGCAACCCATTCCAGGTGTCACCCTCGCAGTAAAGAAGCTCTAACTCAGATGGAGATGAAATGTCTTGTGTTTCAATTTGTACCTATTACCCCTTATCCTGTCACTGGCCGCCAGGGAGAAGAGTTTGGCCCCATCCTCTTCACGTCTTCTCCTCGGGTCTTTGTCTGTGTTGATCAGATTCAACCGCCGTCAATCTTCTCCAGGCGAAACCGGCCCCGCTCCCTCATTCTTTCCTCCATGACTTTGTCACATTGGCGCAGAGCTCCTGGAGGAGGTTCCCGCTGGGTGTGCAGAGCTCCCCGTGCGGAGGTCTGGGCCTCCCAGCCTGGGTGGGGGGTATTGTGGGCTATTTTGGGGGGCTGCCTGTTGCATTTGCAATATTTGCCCCCAAGCCCCTGGTGGGGGCGGTAGGAG